GGGGAGGGGTTATCTTATTTACTACAACTGCCAAGTTTCCAAGTTCTGTCACTCCCTGAGGGCTCATTAGAGCCATTAAGAGCTGTGTATATTTTTCACTATTATTGTACTCAAAAATGGCAGAACCATTTTTCTCAAACTTTCCTAAAAAATAATCCTTCAATTGAGGTCAGACTCAGAAAATTTCAGACCAAAAGGTGAAGGTTAAAAGTAACTGAAATACGGCCTTTAAACAGAAACACTCAGGCAATCTTAATTATCACTGTTGTTGTTTGCGCCAACTATAATATATGTATCTTTTCCTAAAAGATCCACTTGAATTATGCATATAAACTGTGCATGTTTGCACACACATGGTAATAGTGCACAGAAATCAGACATATCTTTTTGAAAATATAGTCCTGTGTATTTGTCATCTGAATTTCTTGCTTATAAATATGAAAACCAAATGTGTAAATATCTCTATGTCCCTGCATTTTGAATTATAGCAATTTGAAATGCTTCTGCAGTAGATACACATTTTGTTCTCTATGAAAGGCAGTACCTCTGAGGAAGAAATTTATTTAAAGCAACATAATACATTTTTCATAGATTAAGGCTAGAAGGGACCATTAGAGCATCTAGTCTGACCTATATTACCATAGCCAAGAATTTCACCCAGTCATCCCTGTATTGAGCCCAATAACTTGTTTTTGACTAAGCACATCTACTAGAAAAGCATCCAGTCTTGATTTGAAGACCTCAAGAGATGGGGACTCCACCACATACCTTGATATTTTGTCCGAATGGTTAATCACCCTCACTTTTAAAAATTTGTGCCTTATTTCTAGGAATTTGACTGTCATTAACTTCTGGCCATTGGCTCCTGTTATGCCTTTCTCCAACTAGATTAAAATCCTTTTAGCACCTATTATTTTCTCCCTGTGAAGGTACATATACATAAACAAGTCACTTCTCAGTCTTCTTTTTGATAAGGTAAACAGATCAAGCTCTTTAAGTCTCTCACTGTAAGACACTTTTTCCAGTCCTTGAATAGTTTTTGTGACTCTTCTCTTTTAAACTTTATACATAATCCCCAATAAAGATTGCCACAAACTACATTGAAGAAAACAACATTTTACATATAAAGGTCAGATTTTCAGCCTAGTCTTGGCCTCTTATTTTTTCTCCCACAATTTTACAATTATTTGTGGGTGCAGTGTATTGTATAGATATTATACTGATGGACACTCTGTGGGAGATTAAGATGGAAAGACATGGAAATTGTTTTAAAGAGAAAAACTTATTTTAAAAGTGTAAATGAGTGTGTTATGTAGGCATAAATTCAATCAACACCTCTTTGTTTTCTACCAGTGGGGCTTTGCGTGATCAATGCACTTTCTGTCATATGCAGCACCAAAAAGTCAAAAGCAAGTTTGTATTACTGGCTCTAATCCATAAGAAACTAGACTGGTAAATGCAGAGGTGCAAAGTACACACAAGACTGTTACCAGTAAGTCTGTAGTTAACAGATGTCCACTCTGTGACTCACAGGATGATTCAGGGCCTACATCTTCATTCTTACAAGAAAATCTAACCAATTCTCAAAACAGCGGATATTAGCCTTTCATCTTAAGGGCTCAATTACTTTACTGGCAAACAGTATTTATAAAAAGATGGAAAGAACACTGCATTCTTTTTTTTCAAAACAGGATACAATGCTAACTTATTTATTATTTTGTAAAACAGTTGCGAAACTTGGTTATTTTGGGGAGGGTATGGAAGGGGTGCATTTTGCCCTTTGCGGGAGTGGAAAGCCAAATAAGCAAGGGGAGATGTTGCAGTTATGCTTCCCATGTGGGTTGGTGGAGCCAGATGTGGGAAACATGTACAGAGGATCTGTGCCCTTACATTCCACGGATCTGTGCTTTGTGTGGGCTCCTTCTGCCACAGAGAGGGTTTTTAAGAAGCGGTGGAGCTACGGTCATTGGAGCGGTGTAGCTCATAGAGCATGTAGCGGTGTGCACAGCAGCTGTAAATATGAGTTTGCCTAGTAAAAAGTCCTAGCAATAAACTAATTCCAAGTAAGAGCTGAGTATGAACCCCAGGATTTGGTCACATAGAAATATATTGCTCTTACTAAGTGTACCTCTCCTTTTAAATTTGCTAAATCAGGTATTCATTTTCCTGATTGTATTTATTAAAGTGAAATTGATCACTGCATTATTGTATATAAAGTACTACAAAATGCTGATGATACACTGGCCAGGGAGCACTTAGTGCAAGTTTTGAGATGAGGGTGCGAGTCCAGTCCCTCAGCATAAATTAGAGCAATTTGAAACTATCGTAATCTATACCAGTAGCCAACAGCCCCGTGTGGACATTCCAGCAGCTGAGGTTCTGGTGGACAAGGGGATGACACACACTCTTTTCTCTGGGGACATTCCCTACACGGACATCTGGGAGAGTGAGTGTTGTTGGGAGTCAGTATGGCAATTCTATTTAATTTTAGGATCCTTCAACTGCAGAGTAAGGAAGCTAGTTTCAGGGCAGCACTGGGATTTCTGAGGTGCACAAAATAGTCACATTACACTGGAGAATTGGGGCTAAATTTTGTGTTTTCCTTTGGACTACACTAATACAGCTGTGATTCTTAGTCTGTTTACCCTGAGCTATGCAGGTATTTAACTTCTGCCTTTTACTTGTAGCCAGATTCTGCCATCTGCATTCACGCTAAGTAGTACCTTGCTTCTTGAGTAGTCCCTTTGATTTAAGTGAGACTACTCTGAGTAACGTTCCACTCAACATGAGTAAGGCTGGAAGAATCTGTTCCTAAATAAATATCATGTGTTACCTTTACTCTTGTTGAGTGCTCTCTTATTCCACAAGTAGTGCCGTTGATTGAATGGGCTATTCTCAAAGTAAGGTACAACTTAACATTGAGGAAGTGTGACAGAATCGTGTCCTAAAATTATGAAAACCATAACCTCATATTGTCTGTCCTCTTAATAAACAGTGAATTCTCCAGGGGTGAAATCATGGATCATTTAAAACGATAGTGAGGCCAGGATTTCACCCTAGATGGCTAAGTTGTGGTGTGATTGGGACTTTTGTTAACTGAGACTGAGCTATGCAAAGGAGAAGGGTGTTACGAAAGACAGCACTTGTTTACAGAACTAGCTTCATGGCCTCTTCCAGCACATTCAAACTGAGGATGGCATCTCCACTTTGAAAGATACATGATGTGACTTCTTTGCATGCTCTTGGTCTGGGGGAATTCGTATGGGAAAATAATGCCCATAATTGAGTTGGCAAATAAATAGTTGATTCACATGGGGAAGTACAGCATTACTCAGTGTTAAATTATGCGCTGGGATATGCGCTACCCTTGGCTAAGCTCAATAAGATAATATTTTATTTGTTCAATTAATGTTTCAATGTCTGAAATAGTTTATTTACATTAAAAATAAATCAATTCAGGAATTAATATTGCAAATTGTATTTAGCTGTGATATATGGTGACTGTAGAGATCTGAAATTCAGAGCAAAGGACAACCACTCATATTAAGCAATTGCAAACTCGTACTGTGGTTATAAGCACCGGACTGCCAAACTACTTAGAAGTGTGACATGTCTGATAGATTTTTGAATTACTTCCAAGTTTTATCATCTTCATTTCAGTCAGCCAAGCAATGTTTTGTAACTCCAGGCAGGTTTCTAGAAATATTGCTGAAGTGCTGGGTTTATGGAAATAGAGTCAAACCTGTAGAGGGAGCAACCACTGCAGAAAAATAAAATTATAATGAAGGGAAATTTGCTTGGTATCCTCTGAACTTTGTGTAATAGGCATTTGCCTAGTCAGTAGTGTAATTTCTAAATTGGATTAGTAACAATTTTATAGCTCGGTATCCTTTTAAAAAGTTGTGTGTGGGGGAGGAATAGTATACAATACAGCCATACATACACCACTTTTTGTTGCCTGTAGAATTAACAGAACAGGCTCATGGACTGGGTAGAATAAGTTAAGGAACTTATTCATACACACTGTGCATTTAACTGTCAGTGCCTTGCTTATAATATAATGCATTATCTCATTACTAAGCCTGACAATGATTGTGAGCAGAGTCACTGATGAAACTCATTGATCTCTAGATTCCATTAAGATTTGGAGATCTTGCAATTTAAATCTGCAGGATGCATTTTATACTCAGATATTAATCACTGGTTTTTTTTAAAGAGTGGATGAAATGATTTTTTTTTTACTTGTAAACAAGCAGATTTAGACATTTGACATTTTGATATTTTTGATCAATTTTGATCTTTAGTTTGGGGAGTCTCTGTACAATTAAGGCTATTTATAGTTCATCTATCAGACATTCCTACTAAATCTGTTAAAAGATGCATCTCCTTTTGTTTGAATTATTCTGCTGGCAGTGATGGGCATTTAGTCCATGGCACAGTAACAAGGACACAGAGACAAATTCATCCCTGGTATAACCCCATTGAAATTAGTTGAGGTTACATCAGGGACTAATTTGGCCCATACTATTTCTAGGGCAGAAGGAAGTGAGGAAGCTTATCTTAGTGTGTCCAATTAACTGATAACGTTTCTCCCCCATACAAATGTCTGCCTGTCTCTTGCTGTAATTAACATAGTCATAGCTGCACCATCGGCTCATGTCTTGGGGCCTGATCCTGTGTGGTGGTGGTGAGTGTCTTCAGCTCCAGTTGGTTGCAGTGGGAGTTATGAGTGCTCAGTGCCTTATGGGAGCAAGTCCCTTATACAGATTCACTTGTTGTCTGAGTAAACCCATACTTTAAAGAATGGAGCTTCCAGACCTGATTCTCACTTTGCTTGGTGCAGGACCCAAGAGGTGGGGCGGGGCGGGGAAGGTGGATCTATGTTACTTTTTTGTCTCCCTTAGTCTGGGGTCATTGGGAGGTTGCCTCAGGGCTACCCCAACTTGCATCCAGCAGCCTACTGCCCTCTAGATTCCTTCTACACAGGGGGAATTCCTTGGTGGGTGGCTTGCAGTCCCTTTGCACTGGCAAAATCGGCCTGAAGATGCTGTAGCATAACAACAAATCAGGATTTGTATGTGGGTAAAATTTTCTACCATTCTGGCTAGCATATTTCTGTGATGCCATGTGACACCCCTGTGTGACTTTACAGCTTTTGGACCAGATTCTCTGGATTTGCTGAGCTGTGCAATCGGTGAGGGGAAAGTTTTTTACAGTACCCAGAAACTTACACCTAGCTGCCTATAGCTCAAAGATATCATTTGGGCAGCTAGGAATAGCCAGAGATACTTTGGCCACTCCCTTTGTCTCCTTCCCCTGCCCTTCCCCAGAATCTGTCCATTTATTTTATTTAATTGAGATACCCTTAGTGGGCTCAATCCTTTACTGCTCAGATGTGAAATATTGCAAACATGTGTTGGGGCAGATCCCCACTCCAGTCAGGAAAGGGTTAAAGAGCTCCTCTGTGCACAGTCAATCCCAATCCAGCACACCGGTGAGGCTTGTCAAGGCTGGAGATGAGCAGGTCCTTAAAAGGGAGGGTCCCTGCTTAGTCCAGCGTGACATTCTGAAGGAGCAGGACTGCAACTCAGAGCACCCCATCCCCGGGAAGCGGGGGTTGTTGATTGAAGAAATGGTTTCAGAGCCTTAGCCTCCTTGGCCTTCTCAGAAAGGAGAGGGGCCAGTTCTTTTCTTTTTGTCTTCCCAAAGGCCCAGGACTCTGCCCTTTGTGGGCTGCTGAAGCATACTGTCTTTTTATTTGGACTACTTTATCACTCCCATGCCCTTTGTAAGGGGGCAGATGCCATGAACAGCACAGGCAGAAGACTGTGCCCTGGATGCTGAGACAGGAGCAGCACCCATCCTCTCCTCAGAGGGGTGCCAGAGTAGTCTATCCTACTACAACATATAAATGCAAGATAAAAAGTGATGAATAGGACAAGGAAAGTAGAAGACTCTGATCCTTCATTAATGTTGATGCTGATGCACAGTTGCTCGTATACTCTTCCCTAGTGTCAGGAGTGAGGCCTAAGAAGAGTGTGTGGCTAAGAATCTCATTAATATTGAACATTTTGCTTAAGCCCATCTCTTCTCGGACATACCTATTCTCCTCCTGAGCATTTGTGAGTAAGGGAGTAGGAACACACAAGCTTTGCAGCATCAAGGCCAATGTGTATTATATGGACACAGAAGAAGAATCAATGTAAAATATTCCCTGTGACTTAAATATTGGGCTTGTGCCGGAGGGGGAAAGTAGGTTTCTTCTGAGCCATATCTGATTGAACTTATAAAAGGTAGAGAGATCTAAATCCTTGTAGAGGCTGAACTGATTTCTTCAGTCTGCATTTACAGTTGATAGTATCCTGTCATTCTATCTGTCTCCCTCTCTCTAGGCATTTGTACAATGCTCATCTCAATAGTATCTGAGCAGCAGGCAAAGAATGCATTTTTGCAGCCTCAACACACCAGCTATATTAGCATAGTCTGAAGGCTGGTCTACACTACAGAGTTAGGTCGACATAAGACAGCTAATGTTGACCTAATTATGTCAGTATCTACACTACAGCCTTTCTCCCACTGATGTAAGTGCCCTACTACACAGACATAATAACTCCAACCTCCATGAGAGGTGTAGGGCTGATGTCGGTGTAGTTAGGGCAACACAGTGTCTGGCGGGTATGGGGGGGGAGGTAAACAGCAGGGAATGGGGAGCATGGGGTGGGCAGCCCGCCAGGAGCTTGTGGGGCAGCCAGGCTACTGTCAGGGAGCTGCCAGCGAAGCAGAGAGACCATGCTCTCAGCTCCCCACACTGCCCATTAGCTCATTGGAAGCGCTCCTGGTGAGGACGCACACCACCAACCCAAGGAGGGTAGTGTGGACGTGCACCACTGCAGTAATTACTGCAGTGGCTGTAAGTCAACCTAATATAGGTTGACTTAAGTTTGTAGTGTAGACATACCCTGAGTGATTATTTGGATCAGGCACACAAAGGCTATCTGCTTCTGCTGGACTGGGTTCTTAAGACCTTTAGTTATTTTTCAGATGCTCCTACTGTGAGTTAGGACCCATGCGATCGGCAACTCCAATAAATTAGAGTAGCCATGTTTTAATTCTGATTTACAGTATTTAGCATCAAACTGCTTACATTCTTCATAGGATGGATTTTCACTAATGAAGGTCAATGTATAACATAAAGCACTCTAACAGAAAAGGCTGCAGCAATTAGCGGCTGTAGAAGCAATTGCTTTGCATCTTCCATGTCAATTGTAAGAATTAAAAGAAACAGAAAAGGGCATTTGGCTGAGGAATGAGAGCAAGAACATTACATCTGAAAAGCACAAGTACTTGGCTTTGAGGAGGACTGAAATTTTTAATAAAACTAATACATATTTGTTTTTCCAAGTCATTAACAACTATCTGTAGGATTAATACATACAGAAGAATACATTTTAAAGGTGAATTAAAGACCCGCTAAGACCTGAGTTCTGGCCCTCAGATTCCTGTGATTCTTCTGCAAAAGCTGAGAACATCACCAAAGTGCTGATCCCACCAAGTTCTCGTGTAAAGTTAAGTCTCTGTGGATTGGGGCCTAGCAGAGTATGAGCTAAATTCAGTATGGGATAGATAAGGCAGAAATTGGTTTAATGGTGGTCTTTTGGGTTGCTTCAGGCAGACTGTTCATGCAGTGGAGAAATGCATTGAACTCAAATGAAGTCAATAAGAGTTGTGCCCATGGGGTTGAGGGTATAATTGGGTCCCATTTGCATGCATTTTACAAGTATCTGTATCTTCTGTAGGGCCTCTTTATTCACATTTGGAAATGAGTATGTTGGTGTTTTTGGTTCAGGCTCCCTCCACTGGGGCATGCAGCTTTGTGAATCACATTAGCTTTCAGAGTTTATGACATCCCACTATGCAGCTAGAATGCACATGAAAAGCTTTGTAACATTAAGAACAAAGGGCCATGTTGCAGCAAGCCATGGCTCCTTCCCTTCCCTCTCCCCCTCCCCTCCCCCCCCCCCCCCCCCCCCCCAAAAATCTTGATGGCATAGACACTTTGCCAATCTTCTGCTCTAGAGGGGCATTTGGGCAAAGGTTCAGTAGCTTATCTGATTCTTCCCTCCTGATCCAGCAATGGCCCGTCCACACAGACCCTACCTAGACTATTCATGGTCCTGACATGTAATTTGCTGCTTTTACAGTGTTATTTGTATGCCCATTTTGGGGACCTTTCTACTTTTTTGCAGAGTTTGACCATGAATTTTTTGAGTCCTGCAATTCCCTTTGTACATATAAATTTAGCAAGATTTAATATTTACAAATGATTTTGTTTTTCACCAAAAATTTCAATACTGTTGTTCAGCGGGATTAAAATTGGAAGGGTTCTTAGTGCTGTATGGATGGGAACAGTGCAATGGGTTTTTGAGTAGACTCCCATATCGCTGACGTTGGTCTTCCAATTCCACTGTATTTTTTTGTAGTTGTAGAACTTAAAATTTCTAACTCTAAAGGAAGCAACATAATTTTTAATATTTTCTTTTGACAATAGGAGTTATTTTTCATGATTACAGTATGTTCAAATTGGAACACATGACAACATTTTACTTTTCTGACTGAATGAAAGGCCACACAAGGTAATGCGTTTAGAGAGAAGGACTCAGTAACGTTCCTTTAAAATCTCACTAATTTTATTTGGTTCTTTCTTTCCTAAGTTGCAGACCAGCAACGGAGAGAGAAACTCAAGAAGGAAATTGCCAGGTGTGAGAAGGAGATGAGCTCAGCAAAAAATGCCTCACGGTCCAGCTCCAGAGGGAGCAGGAGGCCACTGTTATCCACTTTTGTAAAGGTAGATATTTTAACTTTGTTTCAAATTGTAGATATTTCCCTTTTTACATACAAAATTACCAAGATTTAACAATTAGATATTATGGGCCAAGCCTTCAAGTCCTTATTCAATTTTTACTCACTCCATGCTCACTCCTTGGTCAGGAGTCCAAAGAAGTTCAGACTGAGTAAAAACTGAGTAAAGACCTTGGGATTTGGCCCTTTGTGTTTAAACATTAGTGTAAATAGGCAGAGTCCCCATGCTGCTCTCCACACACAGTGCTGTACAACCCAATCCTCCCCTGTTCCCTTTTATTACTACTTGGGTTTTTCCTCTTTTCCTAAGAAAATGAAGATAAGCCTTAGCCCCAAGATTTCTCTTGAGCTGTCGTTTTCTTGCATTTTCCTCCTGCCTCACCCCTAATGCCTTCTTTCTTAGGGTAAACCTTGAAGGAGGAGGTTGAAGAGTTGAAATTCCCACGCACCCCGAGGCCAGAGGGCTACTGTACAGCACCCTCCCCCACCCCCAGCTGCCATTCCAGCCTGTGGGATGGAATTAGGGTGACCAAATGTCCCGGTTTTATAGGGACAGTCCTGATTTTTGGGTCTTTTTCTTATATAGGCTCCTATTACCCCCCCACCCCGTCCCGATTTTTCACACTTGCTGTCTGGTCACCCTAGATGGAATAATAGCCGTAGCCTCTCTTTGTCAGTTGTACAGAGCATAGGGTTGCCGAACACCCTTGCCCACCCTTGACCCGCCCCTTCTCCGAGGCCCTGCCCCCACTCACTCCATCCCCGTCCCTCAGTCGCTCGCTTTCTGCCACCCTCACTCACGTTCTCATTTTCACCGGGCTGGGGCAGGGGGTTGGGGTGCGGGAGGGGGTGAGGGCTCTGGCTGGGGGTGCAGGCTCTGGGTTGGGGCTGGGGATGAGGGATTTGGGGTGCAGGAGGGGGTTTGGGGCTTGGGGTGGGGCTGAGAGGTTCAGAGTGTGGGAGGGGGCTCCGGGCTGGGAAGGGGGTTGAGGTGTGGGAGGGGGTACAGGCTCTGGGCTGGGGTGCAGGCTCTGGGGTAGGGCCAGAAATGAGGGGTTCGAGGTGTGGGAGGGGGCTCCGGGCTGGGGCAGGGGGGATGGGTGGGGGCTGAGGGCTCCAGCCGGGGGTGTGGGCTCTGCGATGGGACCACGTATGAGAGGTTTGGGGTGCAGGAAGGGGGTCTGGGCTGGGGCTAAGGGGTTTGGACTGTGGAAGGGGGTGTGGGGTGCAGGCTCCGGAAGGGACTTTGGGTGTGGGAAGGGGCTCAGGTCTGGGCCAGGTGGATGGGGGGCGTGGCTGAGGACTCCGGCTGGGGGTGCAGGCTCTGGGGTGGGGCCAGATGTGAGGGGTTTGGGGTGTAAGAGGGGGCTCTGGGCTGGGACCGAGGGGTTCAGAGTGTAGGAGGGAGCTCGGGGCTGGGGCAGGGGGTTGAGGTGTGGGAGGGTGTGCGGGCTCCGGGAGGGAGTTTGAGCATGGGAGGGGGCTCAGGGCTGGGGCAGGGGATTGGGGCACAGGAGGGGGTTTGGGGTGCAGGCTCCAGGCAGCACTTACCTCAGGCTGCTCCTGGAAGCGGCCGCCATGTCCCTCTACCTAGGCGCAGGGACAGCCAGGGGGCTCTACGCGCTGCCCCTGTCTGCAGGCACCACCCCCGCAGCTCCCATTAGCCACAGTTCCCATTGGCAGTGTATGGAGCCGCCCTGGCCGCCACTGCACCTAGGAGCCGGCGGGACATGGCAGCCGCTTCCAGGAGCCACGCGGAGCCAGCCATTGTGGCCAGCTGGAGTTTTAGTGGCCCCGCCAGGGTCCCTTTTTGACCAGACATTCCGGTCGAAAACTGGACGCCTGGCAACCCTAACAGAGCACTGGGGGCAATGGAGCATAAATGCAGAGCCCCTCCCCAGGGTCACCGTTGGGTCTCATCTCACCCCACCCCTGAATTGGCCTTCTGCACCAGGCTTGCATAGACTGGAGCTGAGACCAGTTCTGCAAGCACCCAGGAGTGGCACCCCTGCACAACCACTCAGACAGAACACCATCCTGTGAGTGTCGCCACCATGCAGGATTTAGGTGATGGGAGGAACTGCATGGTAGACTGTTCTCACAGGGTTAAGCAATACTCCATGAGAATAAGGGTTAGAGATTTGGATTCAGTGCCCTCAGTGGTGTTAATATAGAAAATGAAATATTTATAGAATGGATAATAGCACTTTTGCAGACAAAGTAAGATTTTCCTATTTGCATTAGACAATTACATTCCACACTATTTCAATAACAAGTTAGGCAGATGTCACCAAAATAAAACAGTGCGAGGTTTTTGATGATTAACCAGTTACAGGTTATCTTCACCAAGAAAGGTAATTCAAGTGTGGTGTTTCTGTGTTACTACGTGTTTGCATTTTACAAAATATACCCAAATGTAAATAGATATCTATGCAGAGGTTTGGAAATATGTGCTGCTAGATCTGTTCTAATTTACACATATGCAGCAAATTGAAGATTCTTTTATTTCCCTATGCCACAAAATTCCTAATTTGGGGAGATATTCCATTAGTTACACGTTCACACAATTGCTATTACTAGAAAGTGAATTTTCTGATTTCCAGCATGCTACTTAAGCCATCGAAACAATGGAAATAAGTAAAGACTTTGCTATCTATATTCGTAAGTTGAATTTTGTTAGCAAGAGCTTCATCAGATATATTAAATATATTTCCAAGAAAGAGAGAAATAAATTGCTGAAATAAAGTATATTAGTCTAGTAAGTGTTATTCACTAGTATGGGATGGAATTGCATTAACCAGCAGCAAAAGCTTTTGCCAACTTTACCTAAGGAAGAATACATTATTTTCACTGTATTGACTTCAGCACAGAATGCTTGATATCTTTAGAATTTATTGTGTGTTTAAAGCATGCACAGAGATACAGTACATTTCCAGCTAATATATAAAACTGATCATTAGTTGGTTTCTTTCTGCATGGCTGTATTTCATAGGAGACAATTTGAGTAATAACTTTTTGAGAGTGCCGGGTAATAATAGTTTGAAATTTTATGCAAGACTTTTGCGTATGGATGAATGCACAGATCTGTATTGGAAAAAGGGAGGGAGGGATATGTCAAATTAAAGCTGTGAGATCCCATCTTTTAGTCACCATTATATTTTCCTCTCTCACTGTTATTTTCTGAATCTCTCTCTTGTTCTTAGATTCCTACCTGAAAATCCTGAGCAACAGTTACTAACACTCTGTCTCTATTATACTTTATTGTATGGTGTAAAGGAGTCCCCTGAGGTTTGTCTCCCAGATGGTGGGAGAACCTGACCACACTCAGTTACTTGCACTGGTTGGCTCTAGCACTGGCCCTAGTTCCTAACTTCTTACAAGGGGCCCCTATCCCTTGTGGGTCTCCTTAAGTCTCTCCCTGGGAGTTCACTGCACACCCCTTAGGGTTGGGATGAAGCTCTTCTGGATGGAAGTTCTCCCTGTCTCTCCTGGGATCACACCAACAGTCTCCTGCTTGGCAGTCCTGCTCCTTCCCTTCCCACCCTTGCTGACTGCAGTTTCCTCCCTTTTAAAGGCCTCCTGCCTATCATATGTGATTGACAAGTCCACAGGGGTGTGGCTAGCCCTGCCTCCCATGCCTCTCTGGCACCTTCCTCCTCTGTGTGGGGTCTATACACCCCATCAAATACAGGATCTGAGTTTATTTATTTTTTTAGAAAGTGTTTTAAGTGCGTGCTTTGACATAGCAATGTCAGAGCATTGTAGTTCCTTGTCTGTATTTTAACCTCTCCCCCAAAGAAGAGCTCTCTCAAGTAGTATGTGTCACTTAGCACTACTAATTACTTGTAGGTACCTGTTTATCAATGTTTGACTCGCATGTACAGTGACTGCAGAATGATTGTCAACAAGAACATCTCAGTCTTGCCAGCATTTGTGTGTGATTCAACTAACTGCATGTTTGAGTGAGATATGAATAGGCAATCATAATATATTTTATAAGTGGTTTTGGCAGACTTGCCTGTTTAGGTAACATTGGATAATACTTAATGTCACCTATTTTGAGCCCTTTTCTGGAGATCTTTTAATCTCCATGTAGACAGAAAGCAGATGTTCCAAAAGATAAAACCTGGCACTAGGAGAGTCCCATGAATTCCCTCTCTGCATGATTCAGAACAAAAAATACAGCCATTAACTGCTTTTCATCTGAGCCATGGACCTGATGATAGACATTAGATCATAATATGGAAAATCTTGCTTAAAGATTTACAAAATATTTTTCATCAGCATGTGAATCATAGAATATCAGGGTTGGAAGGGACTTCAGGAGGTCATCTAGTCCAACCCCCTGCTCAAAGCAGGACCAATTCCCAACTAAATCATCCCAGCCAGGGCTTTGTCAAGCCGGGCCTTAAAAACCTCCAAGGAAGGAGACTCCACCATCTCCCTAGGTAATGCATTCCAGTGCTTCACCACCCTCCTAGTGAATTGAAGCACCATTGCATCAGTAAGAAGTGAATATATTTCTGCAGGCGAGGCTTCTGCTATAAAGTGAGCAGTGGTAGTAATTGGGCTTTCATATATCTGTACCAAAACGAAAGCAATATTTAAATATTGTTTCTTTTACCAGACAGTGTATTGATTTTACTATGTTTATTGATGTACCTAGGGAGTTTTATTCCTCTTGATCTATTGGATCACTCCTAATGCATCCTTAGGGTCACATAACTTCTCAAATTGTATTTCTTTAGCCATAAGAATAGATGAGTAACTAGCAACCATAAGACAACTTCTACACATGCCTATTAAAAGATATGATAGGACACAGAATTATCACCAGGCAATATAATCGTACTGCTGTTGGTGCTATCCCCATTTCCTGGGGAAACTGCTGATTTTAAATTTTCTGTTTTTAGAACCACTGCAAAATCTTGAATATTGAGTCAAAAGATGCTTATGGGGCATGATGGTAATCAATTTAAATATCAA